AAAAAAAAAAAAAAAAAAAAGGAGTAGCATGGCGGTGCGCTTCGAGGATGTCCGATTCCGATTTGAGTAAGTTGCCGTTAAGATGGAAGGGAATTGTTTGTAATCAAAACGTTGTTTGAGGGCTCCGACTGTGTGTGTCACAGTGATTGGTTGCTCGGCCTTAAATGTCCGTAGGCTTTGGGTGTGCGGCTGTTCTAGGGTTAGGCTAGACGGTTAGGCTAGCCTTCTGCTTTCCCGTATGTCTGCTGTTTATACCAGTGCTTCGTGAAAACTCAGGACCGAGTGGGAAGTGGTGTTTGTAAAAGCAGTCCCTTGGCCTCCCAGAATGATCTAGTTCGTCCCCAGACTGAGGCCAAAGCTATCCAGAGGGCTCTTGTGACATGCACTTAATAAAAGAGCCACCTGAGCTAGACTGATCCCAACAGGATGAAATGAAAAGTAGTTACACCACCCAGTCCTCTTGCAAGTGGCAAACCCGGGACGCGTCGGGTTGTGGCTCTGGGATCTGTGCAGCTCTCTACTTGGTTTGGACCGAGTTCTGCACGTGAAAGAATGCTTTGGTTCAGGAAGTTTCAGGGTCGGTTTTTAAATGAAAATAACCACCTTCAAAAAAATTATACAGGGGCGCCTGGGTGGCTCAGTCGGTTAAGTGTCCGACTTTGGCTCAGGTCACGATCTTGTGGCTCACGAGTTTGAGCCCCGCGTCGGGCTCTGGGCTGACGGCTCAGAGCCTGGCGCCTGCTTCCGATTCTGTGTCTCCCTCTCTCTCTGACCGTCCCCCCATTCATGCTCTGACCCTCTCTGTCTCAAAAATAAATAAACGTTAAAAAAAAATTAAAAAAAAAATTATACAGAAAACTACCCCTGCGACTAGGCCCAGAATAAATTAGCTGTCAATAATAATAGCGTTCATCTGTTGAATGTGATTGAAAAATGATGTTTGAATCCGTTAAAATTGACTGGATTTAGGTATTTCTTGAAGCTGCTTCCCAAAAGTGATAGTGATCATAGGATTGATTCTCTTCCGCTTTTGATAATACTTGGTCTTATTTACTCTGAAGTGGGCGTTTATTCCAGAAGTGGTACCAGTCTCATTTAATTCTGTCAGAAGATTATTCCCACGCCATTCTAATGCCACAGTGGCTTCAAAGTGCATCTTGTGAAGGAACACTGTTACGTTGAAATCACACGTCTTAACCTATAGATGGGTTTTGTCCAGAATATCAAAAGGTGACATTAAACATAAGGAAAGGGAAATGAATATGAATTGGGAAGTGCTGGGTGCGAGTGTGGGTGGAGGGGACATTTTATTCATTCTCTCCTTTAATCCTCAGTATCTCATAGCATAGATGTCTCTACAGATGTAGGAAATGAGACTGAGCACATAGGTCGTCCTTTGGTCACACAGTTGTTGAGTGGCCGTTGTACTGTGATCCACATCTTTATACTCTCCAGGTAACCTTTAGTGAGTCAGTGCAACGATAATTGTTCCATGATTGGGGAAGGGGTTTCGGTGGGGATAAGTCGTTGCCCTTTCTGGAGATCGTAACTTGAGTTAGGCTTTAGGCCCATCCTTTAAAGAGCATACCCCAGGATTTCATGAAGTTACACATTCTGCAACAATTAAGGCCCAGTGCTTGACAAAATTTTAAAATATTCAGTAGTGAAAGGTCTTCCATAGGGCCTGCATTCAATACTTCTAAGTTTGGGACGCCTGGGTGGCTCAGTCAGGTAAGTGTCCGACTTTGGCTCAGATCATGATCTTGTGGTCTGGTGGTTCGAGCCCCACGTCGGGCTCCATGCTGATAGCTAAGAGCCTGGAGCCTGCTTTCGGATTCTGTGTCTCCCTCTCCGCCCCTCTCCCACTCACACTCTGTCCCTCTCTCTCTCAAAATAATAAATAAATATTTAAAAAAATTTTAATACTTCTAAGTTATCTGAGTTTAACTAGGGAGGATTTGGGAGGTGTGCAGTGTCACGGGACTGTGTGGTTGAGCATAAAAGCTCATTCACTTTCATAGTAAAACTATCTTTACTGCTTATATATATTTGTTTTCATAGCACGGACCCTGCCGCTAGAACATATCGCTATATAACTTTGCTTTAAGTTGAGTGAAGTGTGAGTTTTACTTGAGGTGCTGTTTTAGCATTATTTACAATAGCTACACTGCAGAAGTAGCCCAAGTATCCACCAGTTGATGAACGGATAAAGAGAAAATGGTGTATATATACAAGGGAATATTACTCGGTCATAAAAAAGAATGAAATCTTGCCATTTGCAACAACATGGACGGAGCTAGAGACTATTACACTAAATGAAATCAGTTAAAGAAAAATATCATGTGATTTCACTCTTAGGTGGAATTTAAGAAACAAAACAAATGAACAACAGGAAAAAAAAAGGCAAACCAAAAAATGGGCTGTTAATTACAGAGAACATAGGGGAGGTAGGTGAGAGGATTGGTAAAGTCGGTGAAGGGAATTAAGAGTACACTTGATGAGCACGGAGTGCTGTATGGAATTGTTGAATCGGCCTGTTTTACACCTGAAACTGATACAACACTAGTATGTTAACTACATGAATTAAAATAAAAAAATAAAGTGCTGTTTTAATAATTTTTATAGAGATTTCTTAGTTCCTGGTAATTTTTTTATCAAACCAGGTGGGAAAGGATGATTGTATCTTTACTGTGTTAATTCATTTAATACTCAGAAGTGAAATAATTTGTCCAGGGTCATACAACCAGTAAGTGGCGTCAAGTGGCTTGGAGCTAGAACCCGTGCTTTTAAAATTAGCTGCTATGCGGGGCGCCTGGATGGGTCAGGCGGTTAAGCCGCCGACTTCGGCTCAGGTCGTGATCTCGCGGTTCTTGAGTTCGAGCCCCGCGTCAGGCTCTGTGCTGACGGCTTGGAGCCTGGAGCCTGCTTCCGATTCTGTGTGTGTGTCTCTCTCTCTCTGCCCCTTACCCGCTCATGCTCTGTCGTGTCTCTCTCTCTCTCTCTGCCCCTTACCCGCTCATGCTCTCTCTCTGCCTCTGAAAAAATGAATAAATATTAAAAAAATTAAAAAAATAAAATTAACTACTATGCAAGAATAGTCTACTTGGTTATCAGGATCTGTACACTGAAGGCAGATTTCAGTCTTATCTATAATATATGTATAGAAGGTAATTTTCTCCTAAAAGGTAGCCGCAGAGGGTTCCTAAATATCTCAGACAATTAAAATGCCTGGCCCACAGGAAGGCAGTTGACAAATGGGTTATGAGAGGCCCTCATTCCATCTTAGCCTCTGTAAGTTTCTAATTTTGTAATTCCATACACACACGTATGAAATGTGTAATTCCTGTTACAAGACGGAATAATATTGAGGACAAAATTGAGTAAGAATTAATTAATCGAAGGTGGCCATGTTACAAGGGTGATAAGCAGAGAAATAAGGATCAAGTAATTAGTCATGTCGGTGCTTGGTCTTCAGCTGATTTTCTCCCGAGGCTGATATTTAAACATGAATTTATGGGCAGATTGCCCCATTTTTACACTTTGGTCAAGATGGTTATTTCTGAGGAAAGTGCTAATTCAGGTTCCCAGGGTTTTATCAGGATGTCTCATTCAGGTCAGCTAGAGCTGTTAATAGTAGACGTGTACCTCTTATGTGGCGTGTAGAAGATCTTAGAGCCCAGAGAGATTTTAGAGATGATCTAATCATTCCATTTATTTAACTGATGAAGAAACTACTGCATGGAACAGCTGTGTGGTTTGCCCGAGGATGGATATGCCTCTTGGAGAGAAGTGTGTAGAGTAGAAACGTAACCTCTGAGTCTATGTATCTGACATTCCTGTGTCTCCTTCGTAATTTCTTCAAATTTAGAATGAGGCAAGATAAATAGTTGAAATATCAACATTGAGCATAGCTCTTGCCACAGTTGATTCCAGTGTTTTTTATTGATTTCAAAAGAACCAGCTTTTGATTTTTCTTGATTTTATTTTCTATTTCATGGATTTCTTGCCTGATATTTATTATTTCTTTTCTTTCTTTTACTTTGGGTTCCTTTGCTCTTTTTTCTAGGTTTTTTTTTTTTTTTTTTTTTTTTTTTT